AGTGAACTGTTCGGTAACGGCATCAACTCATTTATACCTCACGGCGCGCCGGCGGTGTAATAAACTGTCCGAGGATAACAAAGTTCGCTGCTACCAGCGGTGTCGGGGCAATGATGGTAGTAGAGATCCTAGGGAGATACGTCAGGCGAGAAAAGGCTAGCAACCGAAAATGATACGCACTGCATCAGGAACGGGTCGATCAATGGCGGATTTTTGCTGGACCATAGGCGAGCACTCCACCCAATCACCTCCGCAATATTGGCGAGCACAGCGGTAGGGATCATAAACCACAGACGGGTATGGATGGCTTCAATAAGATGCAGGACTGCGCGGCGCAGCGTGCGTGTGAGTAATCTTCCAAGGGCGGAGGGCGGGACGATATTTACTTCCGGACAGCCCGAACAGCGCGACAAAGAGTGCACAGATCCAAAGTGTCGGCACATAGTGATAAGGCGTGTCTGTGCCTGGTAGACGATTTATACTATGTGGGAGGGTTATATTCGTCGGGCTCGAAAGGAGCGCTATACAAAGGAGCGTGAATATACACGTGAATCAATGCAGAATGCAATGTAATTACCAGCTGGATCCACGCTTACTATGGAAATCATTTCGTAAATAAAAAACGAATGCCTCTGGCGGCAGGTGAAGAGCCGCTACGCAGAGAGGTGGGAGCCGCTACACAGAGAGGTGGGGGCTGGTACGCAGAGAGATGAGACTGCGGACGCCGTGGTGGTATATATGGGACAGGGAAAGGCGTTCAGGCTGCGTGTGCGAGAGCATGGTAAGCGGTGCCCGAATGCACCCAGACGTGGGCGAATGATTGCAGAATTCCGTCTATGGCCCGAGACGGCCGAAGCCAGTACTTCCCACCCTCGACTGCTCAATCCGGCAGGTCTAGTGTTCGATCTCCCACTTGCTCAGATCAACGCACAAACATCGTCTCCAGAGCAGCGCACCGTGTTTTGCGACTACTTGCAGTTTTCAGGGGAGGGCGATAAGCATGGAGCGGATACTCATTGTACCCCCACCTCCGAATAGTTTTGGTTAAAAATTTCAATATTTCGTTGATGGGCCATCCTGTAAATGTCATCGGCATACTAGTAGGATTGATACTCCACCAGAAAACCGACGCGCCCTTACTCCCCACCACCCAGTCACACACGATAAAGCCAGACAACAATCCGCCCCTCAAAGGGGCGCGGAGCAGCGCACACAATATTTAGTATCGCAGCTAAAGGATTTTGGGACATGGACTGTTAACTATCTCATATCTCACTGTACTAGGCCTACTTGTCTTTCAAACGCCGTCCGACCAAGTCCCTGAGGACAGGGACGTGGCGCGTGTGAGCCGTGGTCCTATTAGCATTCCGTCCATTTCCTTCAGCCTTTCTCCAAAGAAATTGGCTATGCACACTGGCCTATCGCTATCATCAGTGAAATGAGACATATTTGAAAACAGCTACATCTGATATAGTGCAGTATAGTATGCCCAAGCAAGAGCATCTGCACCAACTTGTTTCCAGGAACCATGGCGTGGGAGCATTTCAGCAACGATGCATCATCACACGATCCGGTATCAATGTGTCAGCGGCTGTTACGACTCGGAGACGCGGGGCCCGAATGCAGCTGCCTCTTCGCCACGTACGGCTACAGCACGTACTGGCCGGTGAGCGTTGTCGTGTACTAAAGTAGACTAGAGTCGGCTACGTCGCTGACTCACAGCCTAGAGGTGGGTGTGGATATCGGATGATTATTCCGAGACACTAATCAGGGACACAGTCCGTCGTAAATCTGCGCTGGGTACAAGCCCACGACGTCTACGGTGCATACCAACAAGAGAATCTCTTACGGCAACGAGAGCGTACATTGTGTTCTTTGCTATGCTCGAGTAACTATGCGACGGAGGAGACGACGAATTCTGCTATAGAACCACAGCTGGCAGACCTACTCGACGATCCACCGCATGAGCAACCGCTCGACAGTGTGCACACGTAGTGGAACCGTGGGGGCTGCTGGCTCTGTTCCTGAGGCACGTGTCATAGCAGCCGGTGT